ATAAAGAATACCATTTTAGTCTCTTATTTCCAAGATATACAGATCCCTGAATGTCGACTCTGGCATAACATTCCAATAATCAAAAAGCATTAAATCTACTGTAAAACTACCATAGCGAAAACTGAAACAGCCAGAAATATCTTTTATGATGGCCTTCACATGAAAGTAATTAGAAAACAGTATTAATTTAGAACTAAAGTACAATTGGCATACAGTAACATCAGGCACACCAATGATATCCATGTTCCACTGGTAATGTTCACGACGTCGGCCCCTAGTCATTCTCTCATAGCGCCAGCACTGCCCAATGGCAAACCATTTTAGTGGAAGAGGGACTGATTTTCTGGACATGAAAAAAACATGGAGATCAAAGTCTGGCACAAGTACCTGGATACAAAAAAATGAATATCATATAAAAATACATATGGATATTTTGGGCACCTTTCAAAGAAAATTGTTATTCCTAAAAATATACTCTGCATAATTACAAAGAAGTCATTGGCACATGAGTAATAATTCTCAGTGCACTAACACTATGTTTGAATGTTTGATTCAAGGAATTTGAGAGGGAAAGGGAAAAAATGAGAAGGAAAACATTTTTCTTGTTTGGTTAGAGAGGAAAAAGAAAAGAAAAGTGGAAGGAAAAGAAAATGAGAAGACAAAATGTTTAAGAGGATTAGAGGAAGGAAAATAAAATTCCTCCCATTTTGGTTAGGAAAATGAAGGAAACTTATTTTCTTTTCTTCCGAATTCCTTGAACCAAACATAGTGTAAATGTAGAAACGAACAAAATGATGTACCCTTTCTGCATCACAAGTCGCGCCAAGGAAGGAGTGAGTTCAGGCCTCAATGCAACTCGGCGGTTTCCCCGGTCTTCAAAACAGTAAAGCTGGCACGAAAAGAAGACAAGACACACAACAGACAACTAGAATTAATACCTTCAGTACTAAGTATGACAAAGGTCCAATTTTTTATATGTAGTAAACATATCAAAAGTGACTATTGACTATATACACAAACCTGGTCTCTGATCTCCTCCCCAGCCTTCCTAATAAACAGAGCCTCTGACTCTAGCACTGGAAAGTCCACCTCTTCAAACCCAAACAGCTGTGAAACCTAGAGTCCACAAAAAGAAATCATAAATGAGTTCAAAAACAATGTAGAGCTCTGCTAAATACTGTATAGTGGTGGCACCATAAAGAACCATATTTTGGTGATGATAATGTATAATTAAATCCTTTTTGGTTGTATACCTTTATGGGCAACAATTCTATTTCCAAACTAGATTTTGGATGAAGTCAATGTCTTGATCTTCAGATTATAAAATAAACTTCCTCATTATAAATCCAAAATGTTAATTGCATGCGACAATTTATCATTCAAATAAGCTCAAAATAACTATTTTCAATTAGCATTACGAATACGTATAAACAAAACGATAGTCAAATTGAACGCTGCTACATAAACTTTTCATGTTCATCCTAAAATTACTGAACTTTTGAAGAAAATAGAGGAAAATGTAGAAACAAATGCAGACCTCTCTGAAGTTCTGAAAGAGCCAACTGCGAAGACGCATGTCTTCAGGGGGGAAGTCCCGGGTGCCTTTTGGGGGATTGACATCTATTTTCTGCACGCCGTCAATTTGTAGCGAAGGTCCAGAGAGAGAGCCGGACCTGCCAGACCGAGAATTTGCGGCGGGCAAAGGTGCAGGTGGTTCTGCACATAATGAGGTAGACGAATTGGAGTGATGTCTACAGCCGGAGAGTGACTTGGAAAAGAAAGAGAAATTCAAGTGGCCTATAGACGATAGTGCGGTGGTTAGCCGAGGGTGGAGGCGATAGTGGTGGCCGCAGAGAAGGGAAGGGATTGAAATCGCCGGCATCTGTCCGGCTTTGAGGCTTTGAGCGAACGCGCCGCCGTACTATGAGTCAAAGAAATAAATGGGATAAAACTCATAAGAATATAGTCCCTACATATCAAATATTACTAATTTAGTCCTCAATTATTATATTCATTTCTACGAATACTCCTTTATTAACATTTCCATTAAGAACGTGGATAAAATTGTAAATTCACACTCTTTTTTCTCCTCAATTAAGCTTCCTTCTTCCCCTCACACTCTTTTCTCAAACCCGTCGCTGAGTTTGAAGTTTTGAATCCAAAACTGAAATCGTCACTCTTCTCTCAATTGTTTGTCTAACTGGTGGAACCCAAATTCGAAACTAGTAATCTTCATGGATAAGTTTTAATGTTTATTCTTTGCAATTTCTTGAGACTAACCGATAAAACTCATCTATAAAGTTTATTGGTTTTGATTTTAGATTCCACCAGGAAGACTAATATTTGAGAGAAGAATGATCATTTCAGTTTTGGGTTTAGAGCTTCAAACTCAGCGACGGGTTTGGGAAAGGAGTGCGAGGGGAGGGAGAAAGCTTAATTGAGGAGAGAAAATAGTGTGAATTTACAATTTTATCCACGTTCTTAACGGAAATATTATAAAACATCTTTCAAATGCAATGAATCGAATATTCATTTATATAATTTATTCATCCCATAATAGATTGTAAATTTTGCAAAACAAAGAAAAATATTATTATTTTTTCAAATGATTTTATTTTAAGATTGGTATGAAAATAAAAATAATTTTTTTTGCCATATTTTTATCTAGTACTTTGTGCCGGGGGACCGGGGAGTCGATTTGCCATATTTTTTATATTGTTTTTTTTGCAGAGTTGGTTTAGACACTTATTGACAAAGGAGGTGATAGAGTTTCGCCAATCTTCTTCGAGGATTGGTTTCAAAGCCAATGTCAGACTAAATCCCTAAATCCCTGTCAGAGTTTCAGATCGTTGCATGGACCTGTTGGGCTATTCAGAAGGCTAGAAATAACACAGTGTGGGATATGAATATGCCACTACGGCCCCGTTTCGTTCAACTTATTTTTTTCTTATTCTTATTAAAATCAGATCAGATCAGACTACATCAGATCAGATCCTATCAGATCAGATCAGATCCAATCAGATCATATCAGATCCAATCAGATCAGATCAGATCCAATCAGATTAGATCTGATCTGATCAGGACTTATTAAAATCAGATCCCATCAAGAATTGTTATTATTATTATTATTATCATCATCATCATCATCATCATCATCATCATCATCATCATCATCATCATTATTCTTAAAAATGAAAAAGAATAAACTTTAGAAATAGGTTAAATAGAAAACTGAGAAAGTAATCCTTAATGATTAGACGTTGGAAAAATTAGTTTTAAAATACATTGACAATGTCAATCTAATTCTACTTCTAAAATATATTTTTATTGCTACTTGTAATTTGAGTTTCTGAAGTTTTGATCTTTTATAAGGATGGGATATTTTAATAAAAATACTTTCTCTTCTATATATTGATTATATAAATTTAATTACTTTTTAATGTATATCTAAATTAAATATTTATTCTAATGTATATATGAAGTAATTATTAAAATATTAAATTAATATTCTAATTTCACAAAAAAATAATCATAAAATAAAAAATATTATTACAATATAATATGAATAATTATTCTAATATATGAATTAACTAATTTTATTTTATTAACAAATAATCATTAAATAAAAAATATTGATTATATTATAATATGAATTATCATTTCAATTTTCAAACGTTATTATAAAGTCAAATCAAATTATTGATTTGAAATTTTAAATTAAATCATAATTAATCAGACCAGATCAGATCAGATCATATCCAATCAGATTAGATCAGATCCAATCAGATCAGATCAGATCCAATTAGATCAGATCAGATCCAATCAGATCAGATCAGATTAGATCAAATCAGATCAGAACTTATTAAAATCAGATCAGATTAGAAAAAATAAGTTGAACGGAACGGAGCCTACTATGAAAACAAAGTTCCTGATGTTGGAGGTCAATCAGATATGGACCCACAGTAAGGATGGTGGAGAGAATATCCCGACTCGACGATCTAAGGTTGCCCTACGCCCAACAGCATTGCGACATTTTTTTACGTCAGCTTGTCCCCTTTGGAGAATTGCATCTCTTTCGGTTGTTTGTTCTTTTCAACCTTTTTTTCACCAAGACACTAACAACCATATATCTTTCAAATCTTTTCAAACGTTTTTTTGGATTTCAAAAACAATATTAATTTTTCTGATTACAACACCCATATTATTTAATTTTTCAAAACTCATCAAACAGGCCTTGTGCAAGAAGTTTTTCTTTAAAATGTAAAAAAAGAATGTATGAAGTTTTTTTATGAGAGTATCAATTCGACTAAAAAAGTGTAACAATACATAACTATACAAACTCTTAATTAAAGCATTGTTTAGGAACAATTTTTCTATTAACTTTCGTATTTTAGATAATTTTTTATGATATATTTTGAATATGCTAAGTTTAAACATTACCATCAAATAAAAAATTTAAAAATATTAAAACTAAATGCTGAATATTTTCACAAAAGGAGACTTAAAACACAAATTTTCCAATGTGTGTAGAAGGAAAATATCTTGAAGGAACAAGTATGCATTCCCTTCACCTACCAAACAGAGCCATACGCAGAAAAGTGAAAGTGACAAGGAGCGTCCAATTTTGGTGGCCGCAGCCGCAGCGGAGGATCAATACGATAACGGATAAACAGTACATAAACGTCTAAGAAAACCTGTACGGCGGCCGCCTCTCCACACGCTCTCCCATTCTTCTTCTTCTCAAAACCCCATCCTAGTTCTGCATACACACATTTCTTCTGAATTTGAGCGGACAAGCCATGCCCGTGAACTCTGTAACGAATGCTCACCCGCAGCTTCTGCACGCCAATGGACAGCTTGCCGGGAACAGAGATAGAGGCGGGCTGGTTTTCGTCGATTTCCTCGGATTGTACCGGAAATCTAACCAGAGGAGTCGCCTGCGAGTTGGAACCTCTATGTGGACCGACCGGAAAGTGCCCAGGAGTTTGATAAAGAGGAACTTGAACTCGATTCAGGCAGTTCTCCATTTGGAGAGCGGACGAGACAAAGCGAATGCTTCTCCCAAGAAATCCGCCGACTTCGCACCCAAGGTTTGTTGCTATGTCAGTAGCAGTATTTCAATTTTTGAATCTCCATTTTAATACTTCTAATATTTTACTCCGTAGCACTTGTCAAAATTGGTTTTTTTATTACTATAAAAAGAAATGTTCTGATTTTTTTTACAAACAATTTTGTACTCATTCTACTGAAGCAATGAGGACATAGTCATCTTCAGTCTGCTTAGCAGAATAGCAGCATGAGCGCATGAAGTTTAATTTGTCCACTTTGAAAATTTCACTCACAGCCGTGGAACTTCCTTGAGGTTTACTTTGATATTTTCCACATTATGAATGAACACTATTTAGTTCGGGTGTTATAAGAGAGAGAGAGAAAGATTAGTATGTTAACTGGTGAATGGTTGTTCTTGGTTTGAAAAACTGGTGAATGATTGCTGAATCACCCATGTAGCTGTCTTTTGGGTACTCTGTAAATTGATAAACAATGTGATTTGGGTATTAAAGATGTCATATTAATCTACAATGGCAATGTAAATCAATTGCCCATTGCTTATGTTAACTGCATGGCTCTAGATGTGATTTGGTATTAGTTGTTGACATTAGAAATGACAATACAATATCACTAAAAATTTTATAGAAAAGATAAGTTACTAAATAGGAGTAAAAAATTAAAATAATAATATTATAACTTTTTTTTATCACATTATATATCAAATTAAAATACATGATTTTGAAGAAATCTTACCTCAGCAGGTCGGTTCGGTCAGATTCAGGTTTGACCCATATTTAATGGGTTATTTTGGATTCGGTTGTCTTTGGGTTTGTTTAACAAAATCTTTGATTAAAACTCAGTATCGGGTAAAAAACAAGTTGGGTCAATTTTTGACAAGTCTAAGTCCCTCTCCCTACCAAAAAACGGTCATGTTTGGACAGTTTGGTGAATGTACAACATTTTAACTTTGGTGAGGTACAACTCTAAAAATAATGGGATTCTTTGAATATTTTTAATTTTTTCTCGTTATCCCCTTTTCTATAAATAGCTTTGTACTCATTTTTACGCACATGGCTTTTACGCAATAACAAAAAGTTCTTCTTTTTCTTCTTCTTGTGCTTTCTCGTTGAAAATTGCGTTTTATCATGGTATTGGAGCTAAGGCCATTGGTGTTGGGACCGCGCCCGCAGTAATATGTGCCTCGTGTGAGGGGGGCGTGTTGAGTTGTCTCATTCCACATCGGCTAAACATGCCAATATTGTGTTATACGGAGTATTTAATAGCTTGGGTTACTCAACCTCTTGAGTTAACTTTTGGGGTTCAATTGGGCCCGAGTCTATTATTATTTCACATGGTATCGGAGCCACACACACATCATCATAAACCCGTCATGTCAAACATGTTTGTATTTGTTTTTGTGTATGCCTCTGTGAACGAAATATTAATTTTGTTTATGAAATATTAATTTTGTTTATGAAATAGGTTATTTTTGGAGATAAAAGCTTTTGAAACACGACTCTTTTTCTTAGGAGTAAAAGTTTCTTGTATATATGTAAAATGATATAGATAAAGTTTGTTTTTAGTGTTTTATGAAGTTTCATTTCAATTTTCCAAGTTTTCTTTAAAGTTGTCTTTATAAAATTTCTACAAGTTTCTCCATACTTTTTTTTTCTTATTTCAGGTTGCAACTTTGGATGACATAATATCCGAAAGAGGGGCTTGTGGAGTTGGTTTTATTGCTAACTTAGATAATAAAGAATCACACGAGACTGTTAAAGATGCTCTTGTAGCTCTCGGCTGTATGGAACATCGTGGGGGTTGTGGAGGAGATAACATTTCTGGCGATGGTTCTGGTCTGATGACTTCGATTCCTTGGGACCTTTTTAATAAGTGGGCTGAAACACATGGAATAGCTGCCTTTGACAAGTTGCATACCGGTGTTGGAATGGTTTTTCTTCCGAATGATAATGACATGTTGAATGAATCAAAAGCAGGTGAGTTATAAATATTGCAGAGCATTGTGTTCTATGCATGTTTTAGTTTGTTTCAAGACCCACACTCATATATTGGTTGAATTGAGGCTTGGGTATGGAATTTGATGCTCAGACAAGGAACCCACCCAGTTGCCAAACCTGACCACTATGGGCTTGGAGGGTTAATGATGTAGATTACTGATCACATATTCACATGCCAACTTGTGTGATAACAAACTTATTTATCTCAAGTTAATACATTTTATATTGCAAATTTTTTATCTAGGGACTAGGCTCACATAACATATTAACATCTAACATTTACCTTTAAGTGGGTGCATACTAGTCATATGCACCAAGGGCATAGATTATATTGAGAATTTTTAATGATATATGTAAAACAAATTTTCAACTGATGTTATAGATTATGTATAACATATTACGATCTAACATCAACCTTTAGCTATGTTATGCGAAGTGGAGTGCTGGGTGGTTAAGAAAACCTACATTTACCTTTAGCTTGCTCTGTTCTTCGTTTTTTGTGTTACTCTAGCTGGGGGTCTCTTAAAAACAGCCTCTCTACTTTTGAGTAGGGGTGAGGTCTGCGTACACACACCCTCTCTAGACCCTACTCTCGTGGGGTTCTACTGGGTTGTTGTGTGTAAAACAATATAGAGGTGCCCTATGTTTATATGTACATATTGGGATGAAGCCCACTACAACTAAGCATCCGTGTAGGGCTACATAGCTTTCAACATTTCCTTTTAAGCAAGAGCATAGAAGTCATATGCATTAAGCTTGTCAGCTGTCACAAACATGTCTTTCTAGAACCTCTAAGAGACTTAGCTAGATGACAGAACCTGTGTTGATACATTTAAACAAGACTCCTTTCCTGAAAAATTACATTTAACTTCTAAATGGTTGGTCCTCTCATGATACATTGGATTCAAAACAATGTGTAATGATGCTTGATTATCACAGGGAGTTATAAGGGAAACAATTCGGGGGCAGGAAGTAAGACAGTGTAAGGAACACCTTTATTAAGGGTGGACGAAGGCATTCCATTAATGAGATGATATGCGATTATGAAATGATGGGTTCAATACTGATGTGGTGTATGGGAATGAAACAAAACAGTGAAAGCAATATCGACTAGAGGACATTTCTTACAGTTTGCAACCCCATTTTGTTAAGGTGTCTAAACACAAAATGAATGGTAGAGACTAGAGAGTACTATGGGTAACCATGAATTGATTAATTGATTATATGGTTCTATGAAAAATCCTTTGACACATTCACTTTGTAGAGTTTTGGCAGAGTGTCCAAATTGTGCTTTGGCACAAAAGATTTTAAGGATATGAAAGTATTCAATTCGTTCTTTCATAAAAAGAGCCGTGTATATCCAGAAAGATCATCCACAAAATGACAACATACTGAAACCTAATGTAGATTTGACTTCATATGGATCCCAAACATGTGTAACCCAATTATTGACCTGTTTTGGAAAGGATTAATGGGATTTCATTCTAAGGTCACATGACTCAAAACCTAGGGATGAAATATTCAAGAAACCAGGGGCCATATTCAAGAAACTAGAGTGGCCTAGGTGGTTATGTAAAGCAATTGCTGATTCAAAAGTCGCACAAGCACCAAGATCAGAAGGGTGAAGATGATTGAGGCCCTGAGATTTATGTCTGAGGCCAATCCTCTTTCTTGAACAATATGCAGAGTAAAAGGTTATTAATCTGATAAGAAAGCGAGTAAGGATGACAGAGGAAGGACCTCTTCTATACAATAGGGGTTTGAAAACTAATGGTAAAAGAACCTCTTCCAATGTTTTGGCTTGGAAGGATTACTGGGGACCTGATCCGATGGACCAAAGTAAATGATCCATGTGCTGGAGATGCTTGAGATTCATGACATAGATATACACGGTGAGGTAGAGGCCTTAAATTTAAGGCATTCCTTTTATAATCTGATGATAAAATCACAACCGAAGATGGTGGTATCTGGGCCTCATTGGCTGAGTGTGTAGGTCTTCTGTGCATCTTCTAGCACTTGTCCTTAGCATGATTGATTTTGTGACCAAAATCTTTCGTTGGATGCTTCCTTCTGAAGTGATTCATTTTATATTTTTTGATCCAAGGTCTGTTGAGTTTCTGCAAATCAGGTGATACAAGGGCGGTGCATAGCGTTAAGGCACCGTTCATTGTTGGGACTGTTGAAGTGTTGAACTGGAAAATTTCTTCATGAATCAATCGCAAATCAAGATGAGGACCAGCTAAATTTAGGACTAAGCTATTGCCTTTACTCAGATTGCTCATTCCTTTTCTAGGTAATTGTCTGAATAGTGTTATATTCAAATAATAAGGCTTCGATTTGGCAAAGAAAGTCTTGAATATCCAAGTCTTTTTGTTTGAGATTTGCTATCTTTGATCCAATAGAAAACAGACTTTGCTTGCCTAAGCATCTCCCAAGTATTGCTTGAATATCTGCTACCATTGGTATTTAAGAAGTTTGGGATCCATGGATTCTCATTTCTCACATTACTTTCCAAAGACCAAAGTAAGGAATCCATGATTTCCCTTCAATTTTCTTATTTTCAATAGTAGTGGTATCTTTATTCAAGCGATTTGATTGACCTTGATCTTTAAAATACATTTCCACAAAAACAACCCATGCCTGAAGGTTAGAACTTACAGCCGAGCATTCAGTAGTGATGTCTGAAGCTGTCACAAATTTAGAGACACTGGATACCATTAGAGTAATTGAGACAGAATGATCATTATGACCCAAAAAGGAAACTATCCAAAACAGTGTACGGAAGTGGAAGTGGCACGTGGCATGTGTCTGTGGCATATCACATTTAAATGATTCGAGCAAGGCCGGGGCAGTACAGTTAGGCTCGCCGGCCGGTTAGGAATCTCCTGGTAAAGGCAGTGTCAAGGTTCAACACTGGATGAGCAGAAACAAGTAGATGTTTCTTAGGTTGACCAGCGCGTGGCAGTGAATGACTATGGCAGTGGGTTTCCCAGCAAGGTGTTAGGGTGATGATCAAGTTGGATGTCAGGTTAGGTTTTTGATGAATCTCTACCCCAAGTGCCTGAAAAGTGCATGTGACTACTACTCACAACCGAAACAGTAATTCCAGCCACAAAATTTTGGAAAATAAGTTTGATGACTCCCGTACCATGTGTAATATATTGAGGCTCCTTTTAAAAAATTATATATTTTTAATATCATAATTTTTATGTACCCAATGGCCTGTGGCCCGTTTAATATGATTGCTCGTCTGGAAGTCCATACCTAGCGGCTCGTGGTCTTTTAGGTGTTGGTACTCAAAAAAAATCAAGGGAATGGGAGTTTATTTGCAAGTGGTCAACCAGTTAGAGTGTCATCCCACGTCAGAAGTTCAAGAGCAAAATAATCGGTATATAAGCTCTTGAGTTGAACTAACTAATCGATTGGATTCAATCTTTTAATGTGATTCACTTCAAGTGTCTTATTACCCAATCCAGTGATTCCTATCCCATCCTAAATTCTATCATATCTAAATATAATGGTGATACAAGTGAGACTGTCATGATGACGAAGCAATGATCAAAACAACAAGGTAACTTTTGATTGCAGGAGTTTTCTTACTTTTGTTAAATCAAGTATTTTTTTCACTAAAAGAGTGATTTTTGACAATGTTTTGACTTCAGATAAATAATGGACTAGATCGAAAGTGCAAAACTGAACTTCTTTTGCTATTTTTTTACATGGAGATTTGGAAGTAAATGCATCAAAGGTTTCACGAAAACGACCTCTGTGTACGCAGGGGTAAGGTTGCATACATCTTGACCTTAGTCCCCAATGAAGTTGGGATTATACTGGGGTTGTTGCTGTTCTGGTCTATTTTCCGCTTTGTGTAGTTATTTTTAATGAACAAGCCTAACTCTAAGTTATATTTTTTTGGAGAAAAAAATTATATTTATTTATATTAAAAATTGTTCTATTCCAAGTAGAGTGTTCCAAAAAGCCTGAAATTAGTTATTCTTAAAAAAGAGGCAAATTGCCTTTTATTTACTCCAAGAAGTACTTAGAACTGTTTTTTTGCCTGACTTATGGCTTTTTGGAGCGGATTAGGGGCAATTGGTAGTAAGCCAAACAAGCACTATAAGCAAAGTATATAATCTTTGACAGTGGAAAAAACATGTTTTCTTGATCAGCCATCTTTTTTCTCTTTTCCTTGAATGGTTTTTCTATTTACCTTTTGTAGTTATTACACACATTTTTGAGGAAGAGGGCCTTGAAGTGCTTGGATGGAGGCCTGTTCCAGTGGAATCTTCTATAGTTGGATATTATGCAAGAGAAACCATGCCCAACATACAGCAAGTTTTTGTTAGAATTGTGAAAGAAGAAAATGCTGATGACATAGAAAGGGAACTGTATATATGTCGTAAATTAATCGAAAGAGCAGCAGCAAACTCAGAAACCTGGGGGAATGAACTCTATTTCTGCTCATTGTCCAACCAAACTATTGTTTACAAAGGAATGCTTCGTTCGGAGGCTCTTGGTAAATTTTACTGTGACCTGCAAAGTGAGCTTTATAAATCTCCTTTTGCAATTTATCATAGGAGATACAGTACAAACACTAGCCCCAGGTGGCCACTTGCTCAACCGATGAGGTTTCTGGGTCATAATGGAGAGATCAACACAATACAGGTTACATCGGATTCTTCATTTTTGTTTCTTTTCCTTCATCACTGCATTGCCAATGGCTTTTGAGGCTTTTGGTTGTCTTTTTTATAATTTCAAAGAAAAAACATAATAATATAACATAAGTACATAACATAAAAATGCAGGGGAATTTGAACTGGATGCGGTCTAGAGAGTCCTCTTTGATGTCCCCTGTTTGGCGTGGGCGCGAAAATGATCTTCGGCCTATTGGAAACTCAAAAGCCTCCGACTCTGCTAATCTTGACAGTGCAGCAGAAGTACAACCAACAATGTCTTGAATTGCAGTATTTAATTGCGTGTTGCTGGAATTTTTCTCATCCTCACACACAATCCTTATTAAACTGGAACATGACAAAAATCAAAGATGATCCTTTCAACCAATCTGACTTGTTTATCCGATATCTATTTTATTAATTGCATACTCCGTATTTGTATGTATAAGCTTAGTTAGCTTACATGGTGAAGTACTCCCTCTGTCCCCCAAACATTTTCTCACGTTCCTTATTCATTCGTTCCAAAATAAAATTTACGTTTTCTCTTACCCTTTCCCTTTTTGAAAAAGGATATATGCTCCAAAATACTTTTTCATCTTCTAAACAAAATTCTAATCACTCACTTTTCATTTTCATCATCACCAATGAAGCCAAAGATTTACTATTTTTGGCTTTGGGGTTTGATGGAATAAAACAAAATAGCTCTCCTTTCAATAGTGAAGTAGCAGTTACTCAATGCAACTTTTGAAAATGAGCCATCTGGAAGCACTGGGGTAATGTTGTTGTTGTTGTTGTCACCTCACTTTTTAACACTTTTCTTAATCTTCATGAAGTTAAAGTGGGAAAACTAATTTGGGACACAGGGAGTACTTTGTATATGAATGCAAGTATGCAACTGCTTTCATTTAACTAATGTTTTTTTCCGGTTGGGCCTGTTTCCAAATGTCTTTCTTATCATCCCATTCTGTAAAGTGTGAACTTTTGCTTATTTTAGCTTGTAAATACTTTCTAATTTGTTGACAATTCCCCGAAATTTCTTAGCTTTTACCTTTCTAAATATGATAACATATTTTCCATGGCTGACTACTTTTTGTTGTTTGCTTCTTCAGTTGCTAATTAGGAGCGGGCGCACTCCTGATGAAGCATTGATGATTCTTGTTCCTGAGGCATACCAAAACCATCCGACTTTGACTATCAAATATCCTGAGGTAAATCTGCTTTGAGACAAGTTTAAATCTTTGGCAAAGGTATTTCATAATCATCCAGTTGTTTTCTGTGATCACATTTTTTTCATGTAGGTTGTTAGTTTTTATGATTACTATAAGGGCCAAATGGAAGCTTGGGATGGGCCTGCCTTACTCTTATTTAGGTAATATCTATGAATCCTACTCCCTTTGTCCTATATATATTTTTTCGTTTTCATTCATCTGGAGTCGTACCTGTTGGAGCCATCATTGCTGGAATCACCACAATTCTCTGCCATTGATCAGACCCAGGCTTCCGACAACACAATCATTGCCGACACCATAAACCCCAGCCTTGTTCTATCCACGAGATTATGAAGGGAGCCCTCGGCTGTTCACATCCAAAAAATCAAGGCTGTCCAATGTAGATAGCCTGTCTCTGAAAGCCAGTCACATAGCCTTGGTTTAAAAAAGCGCGCCTCGGGCAATTAAAATTTTGCCTCCAGATGTATGGACGCACCATTTTCCATAAGGGGTAGGTTTCATTGCGCATCTGTCCTCTTTTGATCAGTTGCGAGACCCTCATGTTTCTCTAAATTGTCTATTTTTCTTATAAAAAATTGCTTTCGGTTGTTACTTACACCCTTGAGCTGCTCTTAAAAACTCGTGTTTTTCTTCTTCATCGAGTCATCTCCTCTGTGCGCCTCCTCCCAGGTATTCTCTTATAACTTCTTCACTTCTTCTCCAACATCCTCCTCCTCTCTGTTCTCTTCTTGTACATCCTCCCAGGTTTTTTGTTCTGTTGTGAAGTAATTACAGAGTACTAATTTTGCAGAAATATTTTGATAAGAATTTGGAGCAAAACGGAGTCTAACTCTAGAGTCAGAATCTTGTAGTCTTTTTTATATTAAAAATTTAAGCTTGAGTTTTGAACCTTTAGTTTATTATGTATGAATTATGAAAATTTGGTGGTTTATTGAACTCTGAAGTTTTTGTTTCCTTTAATATTATTGTGTTGAAGTTATTGCACGATATGTTGTAGAAGGCAATCAAGTCATGTAATACTCCAGGAGTCCATTTATGAATGAGTTTTATTGTCTACATGTGCCTCACATGTGTGAGGCGAGCGACTCTGCCGTGTACCTCCTATATTTCTAGGAAATGTGCCTCGGTGAGCCTCTTTCCTTTTAAAACCAAGCACACAGTAAATGAAAGCTTAGGTGCAATGTAGTTTTTCCTAATGAGCCCCATCCGAGGGAGAATAGGATGCTTGTAAGTTTTCTGAACACACATTTAAGCACACAACACCCACCCACCCACCCATCCTTATAACTTACCCACCTCTACCACCATCATCTGTACCTTCATCCTCTCAGCCTCCTACCATCACCACCATCACAGGTAATATTATCACTTTGATTACAATCATCTTTCCTTTCATGTGTGTGTACATATGTGTGGATTCAGTGGGGACTACAAAAATGTATAAATACATGAAAATGGGTCTCCACTGCTAGATTCATGATCAAATTGGTATGATCATTTTAGATTTTATTTAATGCATTCCCTGAAATCTATGCACATTGGATTTTTAGTCTTTAAAGATTGCCAATTCATTGAGTTTTACACATTGAAACCTTTTCTATATGTGAGCAAGTGAGTGAGTGTATGTGTGTGTAAATGCTATGTAATGATAAAAATGTTCAAAAACAGAAGAAAATGATTTCTAGTTTGTTTTCTGTTTTAAAAAAATATGGAAAACAGTAACTCTAAACATGGTCCTGGTTTGGATAATTTTTTCATAAAATAGATAAATTTTGAATTACTAAAGTTGACCTAAGTTTGCTTGCTTATGTAATACTCCGTACCTTTCTGCCTACAAGACTCATAAACCTGCTTGAATGTCTACTTCCTTTTTCTCCTTTGTTCCCTACCCTCCAGTGATGGAAAAACAGTTGGAGCTTGTCTTGATCGTAATGGACTTCGCCCTGCTAGATATTGGAGGACAATCGACAATGTTGTCTATGTTGCATCTGAGGTAGGCTAGTTTTCTTCTTTAAAAACATCTCTTTCAAAGTTTGATCCATCACTGAAGCTGGAAGGTAGTTTAATATAAAAAAATGTACAGGCACTAAATATGGTTTATTGGTTTTCATTTAATTAGGTTGGTGTTTTGCCAATGGATGAATCAAAGATAACAATGAAAGGGCGTCTAGGTCCCGGAATGATGATAACTGTTGATCTTCAAAGTGGTCAGGTTTGTTTAGTATCCATTCTTGAGAATAATACACTACTTTTGCTACATTTGTATATTTATAAGGAAATTTTTTTGGGGAAAAATTTACAGCAATACTCTGGCAAATCTCCGATTTTACAAGAATACTATGAAAATGAATTAATGACACTATTACTCCCACAATTGCTCTCTTTTTATAAAAATACTCCACCTGGTCACCTCACTTGCATAATCATATTGTGTAATATCTACATGGACTTTTAAAGTGATGACTTGGAAAATACATCATTTCTTTAGTTTTCAGTAAAAAATTAAATTACGTATTCCTCCTCCAACTCAAATATCAATCTCCCACTTTAATTGTGAGAGAGACATTTGATATTTGAGTTGAAGGAGGAATAAGTAATTTAATTTATTTGTAGGGAAAAAATGATTTAGTTTTCAAGTCATCACTTTAAAAGTCCATGTAGATATTACACAATATGATTGTGCAAGTGAGGTGGCAGGTGGAGTATTTTTGTAAAAAGAGAGCAATTATGGGAGTAATAGTGTCATTGGTTGATTTTCAGAGTGTTCTGGTAAATTCGGAGTTTTTTCGGAGTATTGCTATAGAATTTTCCTTTTTTGGGTTCTTACATGGGAAAAATACTAATTAATATTGCTGTTTGTTGCATCACTATGCAGAGGTTTCTGTCAATTGCTCCAAATGTTGTTGGTTTGGGTGTTTGCAGATAGTTGTTTGGGTGCAAGAGTGGATCTAGAAAACTCTACCGTCATACTGGGTGGAACTTAAGAATAAAACAAGGGGTTGGGGGAGGGGGGATTTAGGATTTCCATCTCTGTTACTAAGTTATGTGGTTATCATTAAATAATTATCTTGACCTATGTACTGTATGAGAAAGTTCTCATACAAATGCACCACAGACTCAGACTAATGCGCACATGTTTTCAGACAAAGTTGCTTTCCATGACTCAGATTTTGTGGAAAAAAGTAGTAATCCTATAATCTGGGATTGGAATAGACAAACTAGTTGGCTCTACCTTGAGAAAATGTTTTTTTAAGTCTATACCTTTAATGACCTCGAATTACTTGTTTCTTTCATGACACATTGAGTTGCTGATTCAAACAGGTATTTGAAAACACAGAGGTAAAAAAGCGAGTTGCACTATCAAATCCTTATGGAAAGTGGGTGAAAGAAAACTTGCGATCTTTGAAACCAGCTAACTTCCTCCAAACTGTGGTTATGGACACTGAATCAGTTCTAAGGAGCCAGCAGTGAGTATCTTCATTTTAATATACTCCGTATTTTTCTAATATTAAATTTGGTTATTGTTGTTATGACCACAAATTTCTATTATCATGGCGTCAGCAACTAAGTGTCTGGTCAAATAATCAAGTTGGGGGTCTTGCCATATCCATTTGCCTCGCCATATTTGGTCTTAGCGTTGTCCAGCGCCGCGTTGTCGTTGTCATGACGTCCAAGCGGCAAACCTCATGCCTTAGGCATGGTTCACAGAAGTCATTTTTTATTTGTTGGTCAACTCAGTCAATTTTAATTCATATAAAAGAGGCCAACAACAAAATAATAAAAACTAAAAGCCCTAGCTTTAGCTTCCGTCCAAGAGAAGAGTCCATAGGCCATAGCTTCACTTCGACTCTTCCTATCGTTCACTAGAGACTGGCGAGGTGGAAACCGAGGGCGAGCTGTGACCTGTCAGTGAGTGGTAACTTTTTCTCTCTCATTTGTTTCCCATCTCTGCTATCTATTTTTTCTGACCTTTTTTCTACTTTTCTTTAAAAATATATGAAATTGTTTTGGCAGCATTCTTCCAATGAAATGATGTATTTGTACTTTACTTTTTCTTTTTTCATAATATAAAGTTCTATTTTTTCGTTATGATGTTGATTTCAAGATTTTATTTTGTTTTAAACAAATACGGAGTATTAAATTATGATGACTGACCTTTATAATTTATGAATTATAATACACAGTATATCTTGTAGTGCTTTAATTCTAGTGGGTTGCCAAATTCTCGCCTAGACGGACACCTGGGCATCATGGTTGTCCACTAGCTTCGTGCCTTGCCTTGGCGCCGTGATAACTACCACAAATGTCAGTATGTCACACTCTTTTAAGCAAAGTGGATAATTTGTGTATATGGAATTTGTTGAGACTGCACTCCATACTTTTATTTGGATTTTTTGCTTGTATTAAGTTGTAGCTCATAAGGTCATAGCCCATTATACAATGAGAGTATCAGCCATTGCACCACTCAAATCAAATACAACAACCAAGTATTAATGAAAACATGAAATACAATAATATAATCCCTTCGCTCCGAATTAATGGTTTCACTTTCCTTTTCAGTCTGGCCCATAAAAATTGTGACACTTAACATTTTCTTACTATTCTAAGAAAGTAAAGAATATGTGGTCCAAGATTTTTCTCTTTCTTCTAAAACAAATTTCAACTACGTTACTACTCACACTTTACTTTTAAACACTTTTCTTAATCTCTGTGAGGTCAAACTGTGTGAGTTAATTCGGAACAGAGTGCGCATTATATTTATTGAATTCTCTCTATCCTCTTTGGTTCTTCCCACTCTGACTTGGTACAGTTTTTAATGTAAATTGATAAGTTGTTGACTTTCCAAATTTGTCCTTTTCACTTAAAAAAACTAAAAAAAAAATCAGCAAAAGGTCAGGACCACCGTCTCCATCGCCAGCCAACTCCCACCCTCGTCAATAGCAGCGGCTTCCCAACTAGCCCCCCTCATCCATCGCAGCCGCCGCCCAATTCGCCACCCTCCTCAATCGCCACCGCTGCCCAACCCGCACCCTCCTCTGTCGCAGCATCCACCTAACTCTCTGGTCCCTTGCCTAGATCTGCAAAACCAATGCTTCATCATTGGAGTAGAAGAACAAAGNGCAATCGGGAAGGGAAAAGTAGTCATTTACTTCTCATTTAGTTGCCATATTAGGAAAGTGGCGAGAAACAAAAGGGACAACCCAAAAAGGAAAGTGGGAAAGATCAAAGAGGACAGAGGGAGTACTAAATAACTATTAAATAATCTTCATCTAATCAAAACATCCGAACTAACAAAAATATCAATCCAAGTTACTTTCCAACTATCAGTAATAAAGATTCCTAATTAAATCCAAATTATCCTGGGTAGGATTTTTGAGTCATCAATCATTTCCAACTAACTGATTCTTGTTCTTTTGAGAAAACAGGGCACATGGGTATTCTAGTGAGGATGTTCAAATAGTTATTGAGAGTATGGCTTCACAAGGGAAGGAGTCTACATTTTGCATGGGAGATGATATACCTTTGGCTGTTTTATCTTCAAAGCCTCATATGCTATTTGATTATTTCAAGCAGAGGTTTGCTCAGGTGTGTATAGTTTTTATGGATAATCAGGACAAGCGTCATGAAATATAAAAGACACAACAAAAGATAGCTAATTGGTAACCTCACTTGTCAAAAATGCATCTAGTGAAATCTATGGTTTACTGTTCTTTTTGCTCCCCTTTATTTTGAAGTTACTTGGTACATTGCTATACGAATGGTGTCTTTTAGCTACTTCATTAAACTTTAAACTTTATATATAAACTATTAGATCTGGCCAAATTTTTTGTATGGTGATTTTTTGTTTGTATATTTTAGGTAACAAATCCTGCTATTGATCCTTTAAGAGAGGGACTAGTTATGTCTCTTGAAGTTCATCTTGGGAAGCGAGGGAACATACTAGAGGCTGGACCTGAAAATGCCTCCCAGGTAGATTAAAATTTTCCTCTTCTTTGGGACTAGTTACATACTTACATCCTTGCTGCTCTTTGATTTCTTATATAGTAACTGTTGGTTTCACATTCAGGTTAATTTGTCAAGTCCTGTTCTTAATGAAGGAGATTTAGAATCTCTTTTGAAAGATCCACTCTTGAAGCCTCAAGTATTACCCACATTTTTTAATGTTGGAAAAGGAGTATATGGTTCCTTGGAAAAAAGTCTGTACAAACTTTGTGAAGCAGCAGATGAAGCTGTTAGAAATGGTTCTCAATTGCTTGTTCTCTCTGACAGAGCTGATGACCTGGTAAGCTTCATTTTTGGTCTGTCATGTGCCATGCTGTGCTCTTTTTGTCTTTGGCTGTATCATAAAGTTAGGGAGCCTATGTGTTGGGTAAAGTTCTAGAGCTTGACATATGCATTACTAGAATCTCAACCTTCTTTGGATGATATTTTGATATCTCCTGCATTTCATATGTATAACTAACTTTTCTCTATGCTGCCAGGAAGCTACACGGCCTGCTATTCCCATGCTTCTTGCTGTAGGTGCAGTTCACCAGCACCTTATTCAGAATGGCCTGCGTGTGGCTGCTTCAATTGTTGTTGATACTGCTCAGTGCTTCAGCACTCATCAGTTTGCTTGTTTGATCGGATATGGTGCAAGGTTGTGCTCATTTATCTGGCATTTTCATCCCTCGTCCGTGTGAAAAATCCAGTCCTTAAGTTTAATGTGTGGTTTGTTGATATTCCTATGTGGTCTCATTCATTCCCTTTGTCTTATTTATGTTTGGAGGCTGTGGAAAATATGGACTTTGTATCGGGGAAATTATCAATGAGGATATAGTTTTTGTTTTGTTTTGTTTTCTAGTATAAACAACATTATTATTCTATATATTCAAACATCAGGAATATGTTGTGGTATGTCACTTATTCTGGGAAGCCAAGAAAGATGTAACATTGGGAGAGGGACTGTATTACTATATGTATGCATCTATGTTCTTTATGTACATTTTTCTTTTTCTTTTTTTCCCCTAAAAATTACATTTACTATACGTCTCTACTTTGATTCATAATATGTGGGGTTGGGGCGGGGGTTTCTTTTTAATTTTAAACACCGAGATTCTTATTTGACACATTTTGTTTGATTGCTCCAGTGCTATATGCCCATACTTGGCATTGGAGACATGTCGACAATGGCGCTTGAGCAATAAAACAGTAAATCTGATGCGTAACGGGAAGATGCCCACTGTTACTATTGAACAAGCTCAAAAAAACTTCTGTAAGGTCTGTATCTGGACGAGGAAGGAATCTGCCTAGGATTTTGTCGCAGTTTAAATTTTTGTTGGATTTCTATCATTTTCTAGAGTTGCATGCATGCACTAATCCATTTCTTTTGCTTAAGTCGTGTTGATTCAATGATGTTATGTGGCAAAAGAAAAGGATTTTGTTAATCCGATGCACACCAGTACAACTAACAGCACAAATTTATGTAGAAATATATGCGGTTATAATCGTATAGTCTACCTGTCTCGGTAATTCCAAAGGACAGTTGGGACGATTCACCAAAAATACTTGTTTTGCTAGAAAATAAAACAAAGTGAACAACGGCAGTTTATAAAGAGGGAGGGTTTTGACACCACATGAAAATCCTATATTTGAACCCGAATTTTTTTTCCAAATCTACACTAAATCTTAATTCCTCAACTCATAACAAACCCCTAAATGTAACCATAAATCTTATATCATTCCTTATCTAAGGAGGGATCTGTTTACACCACTATGACTTGCATCAGCTCTTACACTGCTTATAACTTTCACTTGAACTGTTTTTATGCAAAACCCATCGTGAGGTCATCCTCATAAATTTCATTCGCCGCTTAAAATTTTTCACTTTCCGAATGTTGTATAATGTATCTTAGTGAGAACGTTTCTAAGGTTCAACGCTATTGCAGGCTATAAAATCTGGGCTTCTCAAGATTCTTTCCAAAATGGGAATTTCACTGCTTTCAAGGTAAGTGAATATACCATCACTGTTTTTTACCCTCTTTGTTTCCCTTCATTACCATATGCCGTTATTGTTCTTGTTATGATCATCTTTCAGCTTTCTATTTTATTTCTTCATTATTTTCAGTTTCTCACTTAAGATTTTGGTTTTTAGTTATTGCGGAGCACAAATTTTTGAAATATATGGACTGGGAAAGGATGTCGTCGATATTGCATTTTGTGGGAGTAAATCAAGTATTGGTGGCTTGACTTTGGATGAGGTAAAAACCAATTGATAGATATCCGAATCTTGTTGGGTAAATTGTTATTCTCGGTTCTACTATTCTTGGTAAAATGATGCCTGACAAGTGAAATCTTTCCACTAGAAATCTACACTTATGGGGTATTATGCATCTTTCAAAATGTCTGTGTGATCAAATGATGAGGCTATTAAAGTTTGATCTTCTTATCTATATTGTTGAATATTGCAGAATGGAAGCATGATAATGTTTTATTTTTTTGAGAAAAGAAAGCATGATTAAATAACTCTACTTTACCATTGCAATTTGCTCTGTTCTTGCTCGCCTATGGCATGCAAAAATTTTGCCCTGTCTGCAGCATCTGTTTTCTCAAACTACAATGGGAGTGTTTTAGAGAACGTACTTTTCTGTTTATTGCTTATTTTAAGTTGCTTTTAAATTTTTGGTGACTGATAAGCCAACTTGAATTTTGGCTTGTTGCTTTTTTGAGTAGTTTAAACTCCATAAGCCAAAAGCAAGTATCTACTTGCTTATTGCTTATTTTAAGCATTATTCCATAAGCCAAAAGCAAGTACCTAGCTGCTTATTGCTTTTGCTTACTACTTTCGCAAAATCAATTCAAAACACTCCTTATGTATGTTGAAACTATTGGTGTCTCTGCTGCTTTTGTTTTTTGATAAACTATTATGAAATCGAGTCTAAACACCTTTATTTCTTTCAGTTGGCAAGAGAGACCTTGTCGTTTTGGATTAAGGCATTCTCTGAAGATACTGCAAAAAGGCTTGAAAATTATGGGTTCATACAGTTCAGACCAGGAGGTATAATAATTTCTTTTTGTTTTTTTAAGAACATAAGCTGTAACTTTTTTAGGGTCATACATGGTTTAAGTATAAGTTTTCTGTGAATATAATACTTCTGTTTCCATTGCTCTAAAGGAAGAGTGAACTACACAATCATAGGAAATCAGTTGACAAGTCACAGGACTTTTATATAGATGTTGGCTAAATGAATCCCTAAAGTCTGACGTTTTGGCTAACAAAATCCTTAACAAATGGAGATTATTTCTTGACTAAAAAACGCATACTAGAAGCATCTATTTTGAACTGTATATTGCTTTGTAAATATACCCTTTCCTTATATCTGTCAATAGAAGCCAACGTCATAGGGGAAAAGTTAGCATTTTGATCTATTATATCCTTTTTGAGACAAGCTGGAGATTTGTATTTCTATTTATTTATTCTCGTTCATCTGTAAGGGGAATATCATGGAAATAATCCAGAGATGTCAAAACTGCTCCATAAAGCTGTCCGTCAAAAAAGTGAAAGTGCCTATTCAATTTATCAGCAGTATTTGGCAAATCGACCTGTAAATGTGAGTTGCTATTATATGTTTATCTTAAAATAACATTCTGATGTACGAATTCTGGGTCCAACAACAACAACATTACCCCAGTGCCTCAAAGGCTCCCTCCCATTGCGGGGTAAGTTCACTAAGTTGGGGTTGGATGTACGTAGTCTGGCCTGTATGTTTAAACCATAGAGCGGCTGTTTCAAGATAGGAATTCTGATTATGGAGTTAAGTTTGCTGAATATGCCCTGCACATATTATTCTCTTGCTTTAAGATTCTTTTAAATAAGATACCGAGTAACCAACCTGAACCGCCCATATTATGAATGTTAGCGTGCTCTGTTGAGAACTGATTTAGCTTTATGTCACACCCCATGCTGTACTTATTTGATTATTATATATTAAAACTCTTAGATATTCAATTTATTTCAAATTGTATAGGAACATTGATTATTATTACTCTTGAAATTTGATTGTCTTTTGAATTTTTCTGAACATTTATTGCAATAATAGGTTATTCGGGACCTTCTGGAACTGAAAAGCAATCGCTCCCCTATTCCGGTTGGGAGGGTTGAACCTGCTTCATCAATTGTGAAGCGATTTTGCACGGGTGGTATGTCGCTTGGAGCTATATCTAGGGAAACCCATGAAGCAATTGCGATTGCAATGAATAGGATAGGTGGAAAATCAAATTCGGGAGAGGGTGGAGAGGTAACTTTTGTAATGATTTGTAGAGAAAAAGGTAAACTCTATCAGGAAAACATCTTTTTAATTGCATTCCTGAATTATGATGCCAGTTACCAACTTCGTACAGGATCCAATCCGCTGGAAGCCGCTCACTGATGTTGTTGATGGGTACTCTTCGACACTTCCACACCTCAGAGGCCTTCAAAATGGAGATACTGCAACTAGTGCTATAAAACAGGTCTCAAGTGATACAGTTTTCCTTCTTTAGGCTTGGATGATACTGTTTCCAATCTAACAAAGATGTTGATAACTATTAGTGTCTAATGGGGAAACCTTACTAATGCCTTAATGGGCTCAGGTTGCTTCTGGCCGCTTTGGTGTCACCCCAACATTTTTAGCAAATGCCGACCAGTTAGAAATCAAAATTGCACAAGGAGCGAAACCCGGGGAAGGTGGTCAATTGCCTGGGAAAAAAGTCAGTGCCTACATTGCAGGACTAAGAAAGTCAAAACCCGGTGTCCCTCTGATATCTCCACCACCACACCATGACATTTATTCTATTGAGGATCTAGCGCAGTTGATTTATGACCTTCATCAGGTGATGTGATGCACCTATTTATATATTAGATCTTAATATGCTTTTGAGCGATGTTCCTGATTCTTCGTTACTGGACAATCAGGTTAACCCTAAAGCCAAAGTTTCAGTAAAACTTGTGGCAGAAGCTGGTATTGGCACAGTGGCTTCTGGGGTTGCAAAGGGTAACGCTGACATCATCCAGGTATCAAGCAAAGTTTGACATGCTCATTGTTATTGATTGTTTTTTCAAAAGAATCCGTTCAAATCATATTCAAATTTAAGACTTGTGGAGTCTATTTCTGGAAATGGATGCATGCTTTTCCCCCAGCAAATAAAATAGCTCAATTACTGGATTTAAATTTTGAAGTAGAAATAAAAGCTTTTGTCCTATGAAGCACGGTTGCTTAAAAAAACAGCCGCACGAAACACGGTGCAGGTGCGGCGTTGTGCGTGGGTGCGGCTGGGTAGTTTTGAGACATTTTATGTGGTTGATGTTAACTTTAATGGATTTGAGATTTTTATTATGTTTCCTATCTATTTTGTGGGATGTTATGTGGTTGATTTATTTAAAATTAGGACTATTGCTATATTTTGTGGATATTTTGAACATAAATAAATGTATCTTACAAAGAAATGAATAATACAAATAAAGATATATTAATAAATTTGCCGCACCCGCACCCTGTTTATTTTAAAAAATTTTGCTCCTGCGCGCCAGTCATGCACCCGCACCGGTCGACACACCCACACTCGTGCTTCATAGCTTTTGTCAATTTTTTTCCTCTATTCATTTTATTTGTGTAAAGTACATTCAAATTTTGTTTAACTCAAACCATGGGTTGAAATTGTTTTTCCTTCCCATACTATTGTGTATAGCACACCAACACACAACACCACACTCTTACCATAATATGCTTATAATTAATCTAACATTTTTTTGGGATGGAGGGGGGGGGGTATTCAAAAACATATGTGACAATATTCAACAATTTTCACCTGATCATTAGAATAAGATTCTTTCTTACCCAGAATTGTGTCCATAATCGGTTTGCAGATATCAGGACATGATGGAGGGACTGGGGCAAGCCCAGTTAGTTCAATAAAACATGCTGGTGGTCCCTGGGAGCTTGGACTCACAGAAACACACCAGGTTGACTTGTTGCACTAGATGTCTGTAATTAACCATATTTGATGTCACATCCATCATCATTTCAAATAATCTAAATCGATCGCATGTCCAGACGCTTATTGAAAATGGTCTGAGAGAGAGAGTTGTTCTTAGAGTTGATGGTGGCTTTAAAAGTGGATTTGATGTTGTGATGGCTGCAGCAATGGGAGCTGATGAGTATGGATTTGGTTCTGTAGCAATGATTGCCACTGGTTGTGTAATGGCCCGCATTTGTCACACAAACAATTGTCCAGTGGGTGTTGCAAGCCAGGTCTCAAAGACTTTTTTTTACTTTTCCTTTTGAAATTTTATCTTATTGTCGTTGTAACAAGTGTTTACTTTGTTTTTTTTTTTAAAACAATTCACATTTCTCCAGAGAGAAGAATTGCGAGCTCGATTTCCGGGTGTACCCGGTGACCTTGTGAATTTCTTCCTATATGTTGCTGAGGAGGTAATTCATATGGATACATGTTTGTGTTTTGTTAAAGTTTTCTTGCGTCCTTGGTGTTGTCCTGTTTGTTGGTCAACAAGTTCAGGTTTTTAAAAATAGATGCCATGTAGGTATGGAGTAAAGCACAATATTTGTAGTCTTGTATTTGTCATCTATCAAATGTTGCAAAATTTACCTTTTCTTATTCCTTTCCCTTCATATTAGGCAACGACAATGTGTCATTTTCTGTCATGTTTGTTTCCACATTGCCTTCTCCACTAACACCCTTACTCTTTATTGGCGATTTTAACGTCATTGGCTACTTTATGCAATTGAATTTATTGGGCGGGGATTTTAATAGGCGTTGCTAACGAATTGGGTGGCGTGGAGTGCCCGCTCGTTCAGCGATATTACAAATTCTGTAGCAGGGTCCATCGGTCCAAGGTGAAGAAGCCCTAGCTGGGGTTTAGCTGCAGCTTGGGAAAATTTAATTGTGGACGCAGTTGCTTTATGAAAATCTAACGGATATGTTTGAGTGGATTGTTTATCTATAGCATTCCTTACTAAACGACCCGATACATTCAAATGTTTACTCTTAAACATTTGAATGTTTTGCGATAAGACGCGATGGCTCGCGCAGAAAACCGCATAAACACAATGTTCATCCATAACTGCTGCATCCATCTAAATATTCCGGCCAAACATTTGAATGTTCTGCCTAAAGTTGTGATGTTTCGTCAATAGATGCGTTCGATCAGTTTGTGCCATATATATACTTATATATGGAGGCCCAAGGTGTGTTTGAGATACTATAGAACTTCCATACTCATTCTAGATACTAATGTCTTATACGATTGAAGTATTTGGTATACTCCGAAATAACTTTAATCTGAAAGCGATCACGCGATTTGTTTAGTGTATCAAGCTTCTTCGCTTTTGTTCCTATACTGATTTGTCTAAGCGTTACTACCCCTCCCATATTTCCAACACACTTTCTGTTCTTTTTAAAAAGAGTAGTCTTGTACAACTAGTACATATCTGCTCTCAGCTCCATTGAGACCTAACAAGGGTATCCAATAGGAAAAACAGGTGAACAGCTTGTCCCAGGAGGGATAATGTTTTTATAGTACCCGGTAAACATAATCTGTTTTAACTGCATGACATGCTCTGATGTCACTGTTCAATCACACTTATTATAATTATTTTTACTATTTGACAATATCTGGCCAGGTAAGAGGGATGCTAGCACAATTGGGCTATGAAAAGCTAGATGACATAGTAGGACGGAGAGAACTATTAAGACCCCGAGGCATCTCTGTAATGAAGACTCAGCATATTGACCTCAGCTACATACTTTCTGTAGGTTTATAGAAGACTCTTTTCATCATCTTATATTTTACGTACAGTTGCATTTACCTCAATTTCTGATATTATGTTTAAGGATGTTGATATACCCAAATGGAGCAGTACCATGATACGAAACCAGGAGGTTCATGGTAATGGTCCTGTTTTGGATGAAGTTTTACTCTCAGACCCACAGGTAAAAATTATGGATGTAGTGTGTGTTTCAATTTTCTTCACATTAATATACAAAAGCCTTCCTTATCATCGTTTATACTTTATACCATTTATGGAAAAGAAAAAGAAAGGAATCTGTCTTGAATAAAATGAAGTTTCTTCCTAATGACAAAACCAACCCACCCTCTAATCTCACACTCAACAACAATAACAACCCAATATAATCATAACTCCATTGGCGTGTGTTAGGTCAAGACGTACACAACCATACCCCTGTAAACAAAGGCTTTTTCAGTTAGACCCTTGATGCATTGCTGCATTTAGTGCCCAAAATATCAAAGAAAGTAATAAGAAAAGGAAGTTTAATGGTCCACTCTGATTTATTCTATTATCTACCTGAAGCCAAAACATTGTCAATAATGACTCTTTTAGCTCCATTGACAATGAGCACATGATCTGTCACTCAATCCGAAAATAAAAAATTTCAAAACCTTACATGTCAATTGTGACATGACACTTGTGTAAATAGTGATTTTGAAATGTGAATATCCAGTTAATGAAGACTTAAAGAAGATTTTGATGTATTAATACCTTGTAATTACTTTATTACAAAATCATAAGAAATTCTCTCCTTGCTTCATACTTGCCAATCATGTATTTTCAATTACCAAAACAACACAGAACATTGGGATCCCATTTAATAAAGTAATTTGTATCCAATTACCATAATATACTTTTTTGTGATTCCTTTACAGTTATCTGATGCAATTGAGAATGAGAAGGTGGTCAACAAAACAATACAAATTTATAACACAGACCGTGCTGTTTGTGGCCGTTTTGCTGGTGTTATTGCGAAGAAGTATGGTGACGCTGGTTTTGCTGGGCAGCTTAATCTAACGTAATCCTAATATCTTGATACAGTTGCTGTCATTTTGATATATTGTGTTTTTCGTACTTGTAAAACATATGGACTTCTTGCTTCCAATGCAGATTCACAGGGAGTGCTGGGCAGTCGTTTGGTTGTTTTTTGACACCTGGAATGAACATCCGTCTTGTAGGAGAAGCAAATGACTACGTGGGGAAGGTTGGTTTGTTAGTGTATTAATACTGCGTGTGGAACCCATTTATGCCTCAAATTTGAAGCTTGTACAATGACCCAGTATAATCCCAACTGTTTGGGTGGGGG